AGGAGGAGGGGGTGGAGGCGGAAGAGGAGGACGATGCTGCTGGTGCCGAGGAGGAGGGGGTGGAGGCGGGGGGTGAGAAGGAGGATGAGACGGAACGGGATTAGGAGGAGGAGGAGGAAGATGCGGATAAGGAGGAGGATGAGGATTTGGAGGAGGAGGATGAGGAGGAACGGGATGAGGAGACGGAGACTGAGGGGGAATCTGATGTTGCTGCTGCTGATGATGTTGATGATGATGGTGATGACGACGATGATGATGACGCTGATGCTGCTGCTGATAACGATGATGCTGATGCTGATGCTGAGGACGATGTTACTGATGATGATGCTGATGATGATGCTGATGCTGATGAAGACGATGACTATGCCGATGCTGCTGATGATGATGAGGATGATGCTGCTGATGACGATGCTGGGTATATTGATGGTGATACTTCTGCTGCTGCTGATGATGCTGTCGAACATGTTGGATATTATGATGACGCTGCTGCTGCTGATGTTGATGCATCTTATGATTGTGATGCTGCTGCTGATGATGTTGCTGATGATGCTGAGGCTGATGCTGATGCTGATGCTGCTGGTGCTGATGCTCATGCTGCTGATGCTCATGCTGCTGATGATGCTGCTGCTGATGATGATTGTGCTGATGCTGATGATGATGCTGATGATGATGATGCTGATGCTGAGGATGGTGATGGCGACGCTGATGATGATGCTGATGATGCTGATGATGCTGATACCGATGACGCTGATGGTGATGATGCTGCTGATGATGATGCTGATGATCATGCTTATGATGATGTGGCTGCTGCTGATGATGCGGCTGGTGATGATGCAGATTTTGATGATGCGGATGGTGACGATGCGGGTGATGCTGGTGATGCTGCTGCTGATACGTACTGCTGATGCTGTAGATGATGACGCTGCTGATAGTGATGATGCTGGTGGTGATGATGCTGCTGACGCTGCTGCTGATGATGCTGATGCTCCTGCTCATGATGATGATGCTGATGATGATGCTGCTGAGGATGATGATGAGGAGGAGGAGGATGGGGAGGACGATGAGGAGGACGATGAGCCGGCGGAGGAGGAGGCTGAGGCGGAGGAAGAGGAGGAGGATCCGCTGGGGAAGAAGGAGGAGGCGGAGGAGGAGGAGGAGGAGGAGGAGGAGGAGGAGGAGGAGGGAGGAGGAGGGGGAGGCGGAGGCGGAGGAGGCGGAGGAGGAGGAGGCGGAGGATGAGGAGGAGAAGGAGGAGGAGGATGGGGAGGAGGAGGACGAGGAGGAGGAGGATGCGGAGAAGGAGGGGAGGAGGAGTGGAGGAGTAGGAGGAGGAGGAGGAGGTGGAGGAGGAGAGAGGGAGGGAGGGAGGAGGAGGGGAAAGGAGGCGGAGGCGGAGGAGGCGGAGAGGAGGCGGAGGAGGAGGCGGAGGAGGAGGAGGAGGAGGAGGATGGGGAGGAGGGGAGGAGGAGGAGGAGGAGGAGGAGGAGGAGGAGGAGGAGGGGGAGTTGGAGGAGGTGGAGGAGGACGAGGAGGAGGAGGAGGAGAAGGAGGAGGAGGAGGAGGCAGAGGAGGGGGCTGAGGAGGAGGAGGCGGAGGAGGAGGAGGAGGATGGGGAGGAAGAGGAGGAGGAGGCGAAGGAGGAGGAGGAGGAGGAATGGGGGCGAAGGCGGAGGCGGAGGAGGCGCGAGGAGCGAGGGGCGTGGCGCGAGGAGGTAGGGACGAGCTGCGAGGAGCGAGGCCCGAAGATCGATGGGGCGAGTTGCGAGGAGCGAGTTGCGAAGAACGAGGTGTGAGGAGTGAGGAGCCAGGAGCGATGAGCGAGGTGCGAGGAGGAGGAAGATGATGAGCGACGAGAGAGGAGCGAGGCGCGATGCGCGAGGCTCGAGGCGCGATTGGCGAGGAGCGCGGAGCGAGGAGCGACGAGCGAGGAACGAGGCGCGAGGCGCGATGCGCGAGGAGCGAGACGCCAGGAGCGATGAGCGAGGTGCGAGGAGGAGGAAGATGATGAGCGACGAGAGAGGAGCGAGGCGCGATGCGCGAGGCTCGAGGCGCGATTGGCGAGGAGCGCGGAGCGAGGAGCGACGAGCGAGGAACGAGGCGCGAGGCGCGATGCGCGAGGAGCGAGACGCGATGCGCTAGGCGCGAGGAGCGAGGAGCGAGGAGCAGGTGGAGGAGGAGGAGGAGGATGAGGGGGGGAGGAGGAGGAGGAGGGGGGTGAGGAGGAGGATCAGCGAGGACGAGGAGGAAGATGAGGACGATTACTACGACTCGTACTCACATCAAATTAAGACCCGCACTACGAATACACATGATACCACGACTGAGTCGACTACACCTGTGCATAAGGGTAAGACGACACCTACGGCGCGTACCACTACGCATACGGCGACTAGTACGACACATGCGCACACTACTACGCGTAGGGATACGAATCATACAACGGCGACCGCCACGACTAATACGACGACTGCGAGTCATACGGCGACTAAACACACGGATACGCCGACACATACAACGGAGTCGCATGCGAATGCTAACGCGCATGCTACGGATACTGCGAATAACCATACCAACAGTAATACTACTAACAGGAGTAGTACTACGAACACCACTGCGGCTATTAATAACACAGCGGCGCAGTCAACTCAATAAGCTAAGACTAAGAGTTGTAAGGGTACTTCTACGGAGACACATCATACTCATGATACTAGGGGGACTAATCGTCATCATGCTAACCCGATGTTTAGTAGCATTAATAGTACTCATCATACTACGAATGCGAATAGTAATGCTGCCAAGGAGAAGGAACATTTAGGCCACTACTGTGAGTACGAATGCTACGGGGAGTAATCGAGGGGTAGGGGACGGAGGAGGAGGAGGAGCGATGCGGTGAGAGGAGGAACGACCAGGAGTGAGGAGGCGCGAGGAGCAGCGAGGAGAAGAGAGTAGGAGCGAGGGGCAGCGAGGAGGAGTACGGAGGAGCGAGGGGGAGCGAGGAGGGGCGAGGAGGGGCGAGGATGTGCGAAGAGGGTCGAGGAGGAGCGAGGAGCAGTGAGGAGGAGCGAGGACTAGCGAGGAGGGGGAGGAAGAGGAGGAGGAGCCGGAGAAGGATGACGAGGAGGAGGAAGAGGAGAAGGAGGAGGAGGAGGAGGGGGAGGACGGGGAGGAGGAGGATGAGGAACAGGAGGAGGTGGAGGAAGAGGAGGAAAAGGTGGAAGAATAAGCATACTACGAACACGAACACGAACACTAATACGAATAATGAGACGGATAATAGTACGAATGCAGTTCAGGATGCTAATAGTACGTGCCCGCAGAATCATACTAATAAAACGAGCAGACACAATGCTCATAGGAAGACGACCAATGATACGACTGCGATTCATACTACTCATTTTTAAGAATACGCAGAATATGGATACCATGATCTTGACTACTCATACTAGGGCAAAGACTAATACAATCAAGCATACTACGCACACTAATACGAAGAAGAGTAATACTACGAACGCCAATAATAATATCAATACTATCAATAAGATTACTACGGATAACAAGAGTACGAACACTACTACGCAGAACGATAATCCGAATCATCATCAACAACATAATGCTACAACTATTACTGTTCAGAAGCATGACGAATCAAACAAATCATACGCGCACTAAAACGAAACAAATCAGACAAATACGCACACTGATCATACTAATCACACTACTAAACACTGTGCAGTACGAGTGATAAGGATACGAATAATAATATTAATAAGCGAACTACTCATCAACATACTAATAATGCGAGTATTCGGACTAATATTCCGTGTACGAGCAATAAGAATACTGGTAGTACCAGTAATAACAGTAAGACGTGGCATACTAGAACCATACTAATGCTTCGCAGAAAATAGTATAAGTATCACGGATCGTGAAACCAATACCAACACTCATACATGTATTGAGACAACAGTAAGACGAATATGAAACGATCAACAACAGTCATAGTAATAATTCAAAGAGCAAGAAAGCGAGTTATACGGATGCTATGAATAATAAGAATACGAATCATAATAAGCAGAGCAGGAGGAGGAGTAGAGGAGCGAGGAGCGATGGGACGTAGGAGCGAAGAGCGAGGAGCGAGGAACGAGGAGGACAACACATGGACAATATATTCGAACCCGATGCAAGCTTGGAGGAATACTGACTTCCCCCCGCCCCCCATATCAATGTTGAGCTCGCTATGGGTGGTTATTTGGGGGTTCGAATAGTTTTGCCCACTCAAGTCCCCTTGCTTGCACCACCCTCCACTAGTAAGTTGGGGGTCCAGGGGGGCATCATGCGCAGCAGGGTTCGGATATGTTGTCCATGTGCGGGGTGAGGAGGAGCAGGAGGAGGAGGAGGAGGAGAAGGAGGAGCAGGAGGAGGAGGAGGAGGAGGAGGAGGAGAACTGATTCTCCCCAGAGGTCCGCGCGAATGCTCCTGGGTCAGCTCCGGGCCTCCCCCCCCCCTCCTCTCCTTGCGGTGCGGCTGTCGTCGCCTCCTGAGCACCTCGCGCGCCCAGGGGGAGGGGGCGCATCCAGCGCCGGCCCCGGTCGCGCGGAGTTCCAGCAGCTAAATTCCCTGTCGGTCGTTGAGAGGAGGTATTTTTGGACTCGCACGTCCCAGTCGATTCCCCCTTTCCCTCCTCTGCTTCAATGCCAGAGCCCAATCTGCTTCAATGCCTTCCTGCTTCATGTTTGTCCCTGCTTCTTCCGACCGAGGGCAACTATGTTTGTGCAGTCTGTTCTTCTTGCGGATGCCTCGGCGTCGTCCTTCTCCTCGCGCTCCTTCCTCCTCCTCCTCCGCCTCCACCTCCGCCTCCTTCTCCTGTACTTCTCCTTGCGCGCCGTCCTCCTCCTACCGCCCTTTCTCCTCCTCCTCCACCTCCTCTCCACCTCCTCCTCCTCCTCGCGCCCCGTCCTCCTCGCTTTCCTCCGCCGCGGGCGGCGCTCAAAATGGAAGAGGCGAAGCAGCGGGAGGAGCAGCAGAAGCAGCTGCGGCCCCGCGTCGAGTTCTGCGCACGGCTCTCCAGGCAGCTGGAGGAGGACAGCCCCGTCGTCGTCGTCGTCGTCGTCGTTGCCGTGGTCGTCGTCGTCGTCATCGTCGTCGTCGTCGTTGCCGTGGTCGTCGTCGTCGTCGTCGTCGGCGTCGTCGTCGTCGTCGTCGTAGTCGTCGTCGTCGTCGTCGTCGTCGTCGTCGTCGTTGTCGTGGTCGTCGTCGACGTCCTCGTCCTCGTCGCCGTCGTCGTTGTCGCCGTCGTGGCCGTCGTCGTCGTCGTCGCCGTCGTCGTCGCCGTCGCCGTTTAGTCCGTCGTCGTTGCCGTCTTTGTCCTCTTTGTCGTCGTTGTCAGCGTCGTCGTCGTTGTTGTCGTCGCCATCGTCGTGGTCGTCGATGGCGACGCCGTCGGCTTCGCACGTTGTCGTCGTCATCGTGGTCTCTGCACGTTGCTCGACGCTGTTGTGCAGTTTTTGGCAACTCGCCTGTCTTCGCCGTTGTCGTTTACGTCGTCCTCCTCCTCCTCCTCCTCCGCCTCCCTGGATGTTCTTACGTATTCTTGCTCGCCTCCTCATCCTTCTCGCCCACGGCTTCTTCGCCGATGGCCCCTTCGTCGAGGCAGCCATGGGCGTGGGAGAAACGTGCACATTTCGTGCCGCTTTTGGGACCCCGGGGGGCCCCTGTAGAGCTCCACTGGGGGTCAAAAGAGTTCTCTTCCCTCGCCCCTCCGCTCTCGCCCCCCCCGTTTATGCAAAGCCCGACTCTCGCTGTTCGGCGGCGAGCCCGGGGGGAAGCGAAAAGGGCCGGGCCTCTTCTCAGAAGGCTCGGAAGTCCCCCGGCTTTCTGCGAGATTCCTCATAAGCCTTCCCCGAAGACACGGAGGACCTCTCGTAAGGCGCGGGGGCTTCTGAGATCAAAGCCGGCCCGTTAGAGACACCGGAAGTCCAGATCGCCTTCTGGGTCCCCCTCAGGTCAAGCGAGTTTAGGGATTTGGGTACCCCCCAGCGGCCCAGCCTCGGGTTGGGGTATCATCGGAATCTTCATCGCGTCGTCGAGCTCATCGCGTAAAGGCGCGAGGGCTTCTCAGGAAGTCCCGCAGCCTTCTGAGAAGGCCTTCTTCTCGCTTCCCCCTGGATGCAGCTCCTGGGAGGTCAAATTCTGATTTCGCCTTGGTCCGAAATCTGGCTTAATCTGGCTCAATCCCGTTTGATCCGATTTAAGTCCGCCTAATCCGGCTTCATCCCGCTTACTGCGAGGCCCAATCTGGCGTCACAGCGCCCCATTGGGGCTTAATCCTCCTCAATCTTTCCGACGGAAGACCTCCCAGTAGTTGCCTCCTAACTTCCCCTTTCGCTCGCCGCCGACTCTCTCGAGAGGGGCGCCTGGCGCTCGCAGCCCGCGTGCGGGTGGGCGCCGAGCGCGCTCCCCGCGTGGAGGCGGCCTGCGGCCGGCCGCCCGCTCTCGCGACGGGGGGTTCTTAGAGGCCATCTTGGGCGTCTTCTTAGAGGCCTCCAGGGCCGTTTGGGGGCCCTCTTGGGGCCGTCTTGGGGGCCTTGTGGGCCGTCATGGGGCCATCTTGGAGGCCTCTTGGGAAATCTTGGGGGCCTCCTGCGCCGTCTTGAGCCGTCGGAATGCCGACACGAAGCAAATGCCAAACTTTGTCTAAAACCAATGGGAAATCAATGATGTTGGCCTCTTCGTGCCCCAGCCTTGGGCGTTCGGGAATGGAGTTACGTCGGGCTTGTCCCTCTACAGGAGGCATATTCAAAGATAGTCGAAACGTAGTATGAGGGCGATATTCGGGTAGTTTGCCCATTTGGGGGGGGGGGTGTATTTTGAGTAGTTTTGCCAACAGGAACTATTTTTGCCCATTTTGGGGGGTATATTTTTTGAGTCGTTTTTTTCCGTCCAAAATCCCCTTGTAGGGGGACGCGCCCGACTTACACATGGGGGGCGATAAATGGAGGGGTGGTGAGTGTGGTCCTAAAAGGTACCCAAACGGTACCTAAACGAGCCCCCTGGGGCTCTGGAGGGGCCCGAAAGGCGCACGACAGGGGACCGTTTCTGACCCCCCATTTATGACCCACCCCATTGCGCCACGCCCAACAGCCAGGCCCTCCTTCGCGCCGTGGAGAGGACTGCGCTTTTTGGTGCTAGTTCTGCCATATCCTGCAACCTTCTTCGAACGCAGACGCAAGTTTTGATCCAACCCCCTCGCTCCGAACTTCAATGCTGTTCTACGCGCGCAGCGAGGCCCACGGGGTCCGCAACAGCAGAAACGTGCAGTCACCAGTCTCGGCGCGAACATTGAGATTGGGAAACAAACCTGCGTTTGATTTCGAGGAGGGTTAGGTCGGGCACGTCCCCCTACAGGCGGATTTTGAGCGAAACATGAAACATACCCCAAACATGCAAACAAACATGCTCATCAATAGTCCCAAATCGTCCCCAGAGTAATTTTTCCAAACTATTTTTGAATATCCCCCCTGAAGAGGGACAGGCCCGACTTGAGAGGAGGGATGCAAGATGGGGCTCCCACGGCCCAGCCACGGCCCCAGCACAGCCAAGGCCACACAGGACGCCCCAGATAGGTCCCTGGACGGCCCGAACGGGCGTGGAGTGGCCCAAAGAGGTCCTAAGGCTGTTGTGGGAGTCGATTAATGGAGAGGAAGCATGCTGACAAATAACTTCCAGATGTCTGACAGATGGTTCAACCATGTTTTGAACATGTACAAACATGTTCGACATACTTTTATAATCTTTTTATTTCAATTGAAACGCATGTTTCATTCAATGACAGGATTGTTGGAGTGTCCATTGTCATGGTATCCACAGTCCCAAGGGGACACCCAGCAGGGCCCTGCGACGCTATGCTGGCTCTTGTGCTTCATCACGTAGCGAGTTCCGAACACCAAGGATCCTGAATTTTCGCCACCAAGCGCACACGGCGCCCTTTGCGCGTGCGCTTTCCTGCGCCCATGTCAAACTGTTTCCAAACTTCAAAGCATACTTTCAACCCTTTTAGTCAGGATGGGCAGCCTTCCCAAGGGTACATATGCATCTTTGCAACATCGGTCCATCCTTCGCCGCTTTCGCTGGCCGCGCCCCGCTCGAAAAGCTTCGAAATGGGCGTCCAAGGCCCTTGCGTCCTTATCGCGCATCCTTACTATACTGGTTGACTGTAGTCTTTCCCCCGCGCGGCAGGTTTCATGCTCACGGTTCGCCCACCCAGGCGTCGCTGTGCATGGCGCGTGGCCTTTGGTCGCGGGAGGCGCCACCCAGCGAACAACAACAAAAAACACCAAGAACCCGAAGTGCGGACGGTGGTGAACTCAGGGTGGCCTTCCCGAGACGCTTGAGAGACGGCTTCAGGGCGGCCCAATTGTTGCTCCAGTTGCTATGTATGATTCTGCCTCCTCATCTCCCTCCTCGTCCTCGTTCTGCACCTCCCCAGGAAAAAAAGTCGCTTCGAGATGCGTCCAGCCGCGGCGACTACGAGAAACCCCGAAGACAAAGCAGCTTCGGACCTCGATCCTCGCCCAGGGGCCACTCGCTACCATCTCGCTTTTTTTTGATACCCCCCGGGACCTTCAAGAGGACTCCAGTCGACACAAGAGGCTTCCAATACAGCCTAGAATACCTCCAAGGCCGCTTAAGAGGAACCATAATGAGCCGAAGACGACCCAACAGGTCACCAAGAGCTCACAGGACGGCCCAAGAGGTCACCAGGACACCCCAGGAGAGAACCTGGCGGGCCCCAGGGAGGTTTTGACCAGGTCAAAAACGTTTATGTTCTTGAGGTGTGTTTAAGGATGTTTTTGCTTTCGCTCTTCCTGGCTTCCGACCGCCCAAGAGGGTCCCAAGACGGCACAATATGGGCCCAAGACAGCCGCGGCACGGCCCCGTAAGAGGGCCCGAAGACAGCCCAAAAGGCCCCACCCCCAGCCGGCCCCAAGACGGCCCCAAGAAATTTCCAAGATGAGAAGATTCCAAAACGGCACCCGACGACGCTCAAGATCGCTTCTCCAGCATGCGTCCGTCCAAGAGGCTCGAAGGATGCCGAAGGGCGGTCGGAGGTGGTTCGAAGTTCTTCAGCAATGAAGGCACAGTCATCGAACTTGAGGCCCTGCCAGTGCGACCAGGAGGTTTTTGTTGCACGTTCTCCGCCAGCTGGCGTGACAGCGTATGCATTCAATATCAAGTCTGCGTTCCCTCCTTCCTCCGTGATTCTTCGACCTTCCTGCGAGTGCTCCGCCACCTGGCGTGCCAGTGCGTGTAGTATGTATCAAGGCAGTTTGCCTTGCGTCCTCTTGCAGTCTTCGTTCCTTCTGCATGTGCTCCGCTAGCTGGCGTGGCAGCAGCATGCAGTCTATTTCAAGGCAGCTTTTGTCCCGTCCTCAGTCATTCCTCACCCCTTCTCGCACGTGCTCGACCAGACAGGCCAAGAACATCTGACGACATCCAAAGACCAGCAAGCTATGGCCTTGACATTTCATCATATAGCCAATCAATATAGTCAATGCTCCAAGGCTGTTCAGCGATCTCTCCGACGAGCCCGCACGCCAATACTTCCGTATCGTGACAACTTTTTGGCAACGGTGGACGGCGCCATTGAGGGCCAAAGTCACGTGCCCCCCTAAGACAGCGCCACACCAGCTCTGAAGCCAGTCCTAACCTGCGACATCCCAGAACGGGCCCAAGACGGTCGCAACCTTCCTCCGACAGCGAGTTGCCCGATCTATGTATATATATATATATATATGTGATTGAAGACCAAATTTGTCACATATGGTATCTGCTCTGATGTTTTAATAGATGTTTAATCACACAAATTATAGAATTTCAATGTTTAAACATTGAATTCAATTTTTCAAATCGGAAGCTTTACAAAATGCGCAACGTTCTCAATCTTTGGTCAATCGCTCATTCCATAAAGGTAAAACATTTCAAGTATTCAGTTTTGGAATACTTTGAAACGTTTAACTAGTTTGAATAATTAAGCACAGACTGTTTAATCGATATACATCAATTTCGTTTTAAAGTGATGCGG